TATTAATTTTTGCTCCAAAAATGCATTAGGGCTTATTTTCAGGGGATTTATATTTTTCATGTACAACAATCTATATTTATTCAAATACAGTCATGTCATCTTCTTCAGGTTGCTGCACATTGGTGGAGGATGGAGTTTCACTGAAATGGGGGCTTATTTTTGGGTTTGGGCTTATATTGCGAGCATCCTGAAAAATCATACTAGGGCTTATTTTCAGGTTAGGTCTTATTTTAGGGGAAACAGGGTAGCTTTTATTTATTTATTTAATTTTTCAGTTTAATGTTTAAATTCTATTTAAAACCTATTTTAAATAGATACCAAAATTGCAAATTCTGCATAGCCATTAGAATAACACACATTTTGAGTAATGTTATGAGGCTTCTTGAAACTGACATGCCACATAGATTCAGTGTGTTTCTTCAGTTCTGGAAACAGATGAGTGTGTGAGTCTGCATATATCTTTCCCCTGTCTCCAAAGGTCTCTTCTTTGGAAGTTTATTTTGGATAGCTTTGAGTCCTACTCCTTAGCAAGCAAGTGCCTGAGCCAGCATGTTAGCCTGAAACTTGGGAGAGAGAAGTTCAAGATCTCACTAAACCAAGAAATGTATGGGGTGACCTTGAAGCAGTAACCCTCATTTAGCCTGACATAACTCACTAGGTCACTGTGAGGATATAGAGGGGAGAAGGAGAAAAGCTATGTGTCTCACCTTGAACTCAAGGTCAGATAAAAATATAAATACACTGAATGAATCAATGTGTATGAGAGAAAGTTAAGGACTGCAAATATAGTCCTTAAAGAGCACTGGCAGTTTAAGGTAATTTACCTGTACATGTGATTCCATCTCCGCTATAATATGGCTTACATTGACAGGTATTATGTTCTTTGCACACTGCATTAACAGAACAGTTGGGCGAACACACTGGGACTGAAGCTGTCAAGAAAATTAAAATCAACAATGCACATTCAAGGATATCTAACCATTTCAACATTAAATAAACAAAATAAATACAAGTGTTCCTATTCTGTTCTCAGGCATCAACTGGACTTCATTATCATGGGTAGAATAGTATTCTCCCACCCATCCAGGGGAGCAGGCAAGCTTGGTTGGTACAAGGCATGCTTTATGAGAGTCATAGACTTGTATTATTTAAGGTGGAGGATCAAGTTTCTAACCTTCTGGTCCTCAATGAGCCTATGACCTGACCCAAATGAAACCTTATTTCATTTCATCAACTGGTGAGACCCATTCTTTCATCTGCCACAACATCTCCATCACACCTTGGAACATCATGCAGGTAAGGAAGGACCTAAAATCAGATTTCCTCCACTTTCCATTTCCTGTCTCCTCGCCACACTACTTGGCCAGTATCCTATTGTTGGTTTAAAGTTGAGTAGACCCATTAACTCAATGGGATTTAGATAAGCATTGTATTATCCTTCAGAAATTGATGGATTTCATCTATTCTTTGTTCACCCAAATGAAATCTTATTTCATTTCATCAACTGGTGAGACCCATTCTTTCATCTGCCACAGCATCTCCATCACACCTTGAAACATCATGCAGGTAGGAAGGACTTAAAATCAGATTTCCCCCACTTTCCATTTCCTGTCTCCTCTCCACACTTGGCCAGTATCCTATTGTTGATTTAAAGTTGAGTAGACCCATTAACTCAAGGGGATTTAGATAAGCACTGTATTATTCTTCAGAAATTGATGGATTTCATCTATTCATTGTTGGGATTAACAGTAGGATACTGGCCCTTCCTTTTAACATCTCACCCAATAAAGCTAAACTAAGCTGAAATAGGTGCACGTTTTTCTGTGCCTTTGCATACTTTTTGCACAGTTGTGATTGGCCTATAGAGGCATCACCTCCAAAAGGACTTTGGCATTTATTCTGTGCCAACACAAATATAATTCCTTTTATGAGTGAAATGTGTTCTGCATTCATAAAGTCTTTTCCCCTTTCTTTAAGCTAAATATAACCTGACCAAGTTTGGTGTCACAGAGTCGTCCCGTCCATCCAGTTTCACAGAAACATTGTCCTGATCCAGAAATGCCTTCATCACACTGTCCATGCTCTGTGCACTCACAGGCTGAAATCCAAATATTGTTGAATTATTAGAATAATTAGAAGGAAGAGTTCTGTACAATTCAAAAGCTTACATACTATGCTATAAACTTTATTAGGGTTTTCAGAAAGACATCTTTCTGTGGCTCTTAAAAATTAGAAAGGAAGTTGAAACCCTTGAATATTAGGTATGTGAAGAATATCTGTTCCTATAGGCCAGCAGAACTAAGCAGGTTATGTTACATAGGTTAACAATGTCTATTATAATCTGCCTGCTGCTACACATGTAAATTTAAGCTTACTTATACTGGGTTGAAACTGATTATTTATTCATTTCATTTCACTTCATTTCTGAGTTGCCTGTCAAGAGACCCAAGGCAGCCCACAGATGATGAAAACAGAACATTTTATTTAATACTATTTAATGTGAGGAACTATAGCTACTGCCTGTTTGAGGGCCAAAGTAGACATGTTTGCAACATGTTTTGGCTTGCATGGGGTAGGTGAATGTTTTTAGAAAACATGGTTGGTATGGTACCAACTGTAAGCTATCCTGGGGCCATGGTATGAGTCTAAATGAAGCATTAAAACTTTGTTCTGATCAAAATTCTAATTCTTTAGAATTCAGAGACGGACTGGGAAAGGAATTTCTGCAAGAATGTCAGAGGCTTCAAAGCAAAGAATACTATAGGAATACAGATAGCTTTACAAGTGGTTCTCACATTACCCTTTACAGTAGTTCTCACAAAAATCTGTTCCAAATGATTCATCTGATATACAAATAGGGAAAAGTGATAGAGAAAAAATTGCTTATTTATACATTACTATCCCACTCAACTTTAATTAACACTCATTAATCAACACTCAAGCAAAGGAATACAGTGGCGTCTCGCAAGACGATTGCCTCTCAGGACAATTAATCTGCAAGACGACTGGTTTTTGTAATCACTGTGGCGCTTCACAAGACAATGTTTTCTATGGACGATTTTCGCAAGACGACGATTTTTCCCCATTGGAACACATTAAATAGATTTCAATGCATTCCAATGGGGAACTGCATTTTGCAAGATGATGTTTTCTATGGATGATTTTCACAATATGATTTTTTCCCATTGGAATGCATTAATTAGATTGCAATTCATTCCAAAGGGAACTGTGTTATGCAAGACGATGTTTTCACAAGACGACGTTTTTCGCGGAACAAATTAACATTGTCTTGCGAGGCACCACTGTATTTAGTTCTGCCTTCATCACTCATCACTTTACACACATGGAAAGTGACGGCATTGAAGTGACAACTTTTCATGCAATCAAAGTCATTCTTTCATAGAATCATAGAAAAGTGAAGCTGAAAGGAGCCTACAAGGTCATCAAGTCCAACCCCCTGCTCAGTGCAGGAATACAATCAAAGCATATCTGCCAGGTGATTATCTAAGTTTTTCTTGGATGCCTCCAGTGTTGGAGCACTCACCAACTCCCAAGGTAACTGATTCCACTGTCATACTGGTCTAACAGTGAGGAAGTTTTTCCTGATATTCAATCGAAATCTGGCTTCCTTTAACAAGCCCATTGTTGCATGTCCTGCACTCTGGGATGATCTAGAACAGACAGATCTTGCCCCTCCTCTGTATGACAGCCTTTCAAATATTTGAAAAGTGCTATCATATCACCCCTCAGTCTTCTTTTCTCAAGGCTAAAGATGCCCAGTTCTTTCAGCCTTTCCTCATCAGGTCTTCAGGGACTGAGCAAACCTTGATCTGTTAGCAAAGCTGCTGCATCATGTACTTGAAGACATCTCCTGGGATCATGAATGACTGAAGTAGAAGGTCTGATGTCACGTCAATGGGATGCAGGTCAGACATTTGGTATCCAGTAAAATATGCTAACTCTCACTGACAATGTGCTTACAGAAGGAATGACTGAAGTAGAAGGTCTGATGTCACGTCAATGGGATGCAGGTCAGACATTTGGTATCCAGTAAAATATGCTAACTCTCACTGACAATGTGCTTACAGAAGGGCATTTATCTAATAGAATTACAAATACAAAAAACCAAACAAACATACACTTGCAATCCAAGCCATATCTTCCAGGCAGGCAGAGTTCACATGAAGTTCCATTGAAGCCACTGTTACAAGTACATTGCCCTGTGCCGGCATATCCTTCATCACAGGGACCATGGTTATTACATGGAGCTTCCGGTCCTCCTGGGCATGCTAGAAAATAGTAAAAGGCAGTGAGTTAAGTCAGTCCCTACATGAACAGTTTCCAAGTTGGATATTTTATCACATTTCTTGGGCAAGGAGCCCAAGGTCCACAGAAAGATCTGTTTTACACACTCTGAACTACGGCAATACTTTTCCTAGGCAGAAGATCCCTATTAGCATCAAGCACTATCATGCATAGGTTCAGAAACTCAGGATCATAACATTAGTGTTCCTGTTAATGGTTTGGATTTCAGCCACCCATGTAATCTCCAAGATATTTCATTCCATTCCACCCACCTACCCACACCCAGTGAGAGGCACTCAGAGAAGGAATTAGCTATTTATATATAGGGTAAACCATATCTTTGAACTTCTACTAGGTCTTACAAGTAGGGAGGGCAGATTGTACCATTGTTGATTGTGTGGAAGGACGAAATCCAATAGGTTTGGCTTTTCAGTTAGCAGAAATTCCCCTTTCCACATAAACATTAAAGGTACAAGACCCTTCTCCATTTCATGTGGCTACCTCCAGTTAATAGCGAAGTTACATTATGTGTCACATTTCAGTTTTCTGAGACATAACAAACCACTACAAAGCTGACTTACAAAAGGCCTTGATGGGAAGAGTAAAACACGAGCAATAACTTTCCACATAAAGAAAAAAACTACCACATGTCTCAATGATGTGACAATTGGCTGGTATGCCAGCCTTTCTGAGGGTGAAATAGAAATTATGCAAGTGTCCTGAGATTAGCTCTCCAGTGTTAAAGTACTTCTTAAAGCATGCTGTAAGGTATTCGCAAAGGCTTTCACGGCTGGGATCTAATGGTTGTTGTGGGTTTTTCAGGCTCTTTGGCCATGTTCTGAAGGTTGTTCTTCCTAACGTTTTGCCAGTCTCTGTTGCCAGCATCTTCAGAGGACAGCACTCTGTGCTCTGGTGTAAGGATTTCATTTCTGCTTGTTTTTAAAAAAGATTTTCCCAAAATTTGCAAATTTTATCATATTGCAAAAAGAAAAATTAATAGTAAAAAAAAAAAGGTTGAATGTGGTAGAAACGAAAACTCACAGATTTGCCCATACAGGCATAGGGCCTTCAGGGCCTAATTCTTAAAAATCTGAGTTTGAATCCCTGTGTATTCTACCATGTTAGTGATGAATTATGATTACCACATTGTTCCTCTGAGGCCTTCTGCATTTTTAACACATATGTACCAGGCAGTTATAACTAGGAATGTAAACCTTTGGTCTTGCAAGTGAGACTGAGAAATGTTGAAGTTTCATCCCTGCTAGAAGAGATCATGAGGGTTTTTTGCAATTCGGACTTTTTGTGTGCGGAAGTGTTTTTTCTTATAAGTTCAACTACTTTTCTGCCAATGCTGCTGCTAGTGAAAAAAACACTAATCTGTTTGCTCTTATGGAGGAGTGAAACATTTTGCAGCTGTGGCAAAATTTATTTTAATTTTTTTGACATACTGCCCAAGTCCCAGGACATAACCTTTTTGGTCAAGGACTAGAAAATTATCCTTAGTGATAACCTGGTTCTTTCCATTCTGGGAATACCTTTTGAATTTGGCCAGTAGAGGGCAAAAAACTGAACATTCATGTTGGTTTGCTTCTGATAATTTAAATTTTAAAGTAATTGAAAAGACTGAAAGAACTTCAAACATAGTAGAAAGCCAAGTTGCTTTGTTTTTCTATTATTGCAGTTGAGATACCTCAATTTGACTGAAATGGTGGCCCCTGTTTTCTCTCTGAGCCATCTTCTGGCTCTGCATGTCATCCCTCCCCTGCTAGCCTTATTGATGCAAACATATATACGAAATCCTTCCCCCAAAGCTTCTGAAATGTTTAAAAAACCAGAAAGTCTTACCCTGACATTCATTCCCAAAATATCCCTTGCAGCACTGTGGCACCCTCACCACCATAGCACAAGCCTTCCGACAGCCTGACACGATCCTGCGGCTGATCACATAAGTACATCGCTGAATGTCCCCCTTTACAATTTCCACAACAAACAAAAAAACACAATCAATTATCTTTTTAAATATATTTAACATACACACATAACATACAGCTTAGGGATCCACACACAATGCACTAATGTGCACAAAACACCCATAGGTGCTTGAGCATCATCTTCTCATCTTCCCTTATCTCCCTTTCCTCCCAAATTACTCAGAGCGGGATAAGGGAACAGAACAGTGGAGAAGGTGTATCTGGCTGTTTGTTGAAAAGAGTCCCACTTTGTTCCTCACCACCTCGTGTGTAATCAAACAGAGCAACTTGCTTTTCTGAGCTCTCCTTTTTCATAAGATATTAGGCATAATATCTTATGATGGAGAGAGTGGAGAACAACTAACCTTTTATAATTAAAAGTGTAGTTGCAAACTCTTTATGAAAAAAACTGGAAAGATATCTGTATTGCAGAAAGATGCCTTACCAAGGCAGAACATTTTAACTTAATGTATTTTCCTGAGTGAGGAAAAAGAAGGAAGAAGCAGAAGGAAAAGCAAGAGACGATTACAAGTGGAAAGAGATATCACACAAAACTTATGCAAAATTAAATGAACGTGGAAGGAGAATCAGTTCACAGCCTGTGCATTGAGTATGTGTGGGTGGGCAGATAGGTGCTTGTGGTTATCTCAGAAGGGTGGTCCATGGGCTTGGACCGTGGGTTGCTGATGGTGACAGAGAAATGAAAGTCCAGCTGGAAACCACTTTAAGTGCCAGTGGAGAAAAGCACTTTGCTCAGTATGTTGCAAACATATGGTACTGGATAAGTAGGGGACTGCAGGGCCAGCTCTACCATTAGGTAAAGTGAGGTTAAGAGCCTGAGGGAACGGTAGCAACACCCTGGCTGCTCCTTCTGGTGAAGACAGACCTGTGTGTGTAATTGCCCTGGGTCCCCTGATACAGTAGCCTGCTTCAAGAGTGGTAGAAGATACTATGCCATCTCAAGTGCTAAAGTAAGATTCAATCTGACTTTGCACATGAATTGGAGAGTGAGTGCCATCTTGCTTCTGGTAGCTCTGACTACCTTTTTGGGAGTTCTAATAATTGGTCAAGTGTCAGCATGAAGCTCGCTTAGGTGCACCCTGTTCCTATTGCTGTGTCATGGTACTTGAAGGCAGAGATACATGAAGGTACAGATGGGAATGCCTATCGCCCTAAACTGCTTTCTAATGGTAGCCTTGTCAAACACCTCAGAGCACAAATAGAGAAAATAAAACAATTATATGTAGAAAAATGCCATTTCTAAAAAATCAGTCCAAAGTCTGATTCCAAAAGGTGATTACAATTCATGGAAACACAATAGTTGGGCTTTATATCTCTATCTGTCCCTCATTAAACATAAAATAATAAAGAGTGGTTTCAGACCAGGCTTCTATCATGCCTTTGTCTTGCCTCATCTATTGACTTTTACAGATGCTTCAGACGTCATTGTTCTCCACTTATGAACTTATCTTGTTTTTCCATTGCTTCTTCCATTATTTTCCTTATTGTGGAAAAGCTGTCAGGGAGGGAAAATTGGAATCGCTACAAGGTGGCTTTTAATAGCTGGCATGAGGCATGCTCAGAAAAATCTTCTGGCACCTTAAGCACTAAGAGATTAATTACAGCATAAACTTTCATGTACTGGAATGTACTTTATCAAATGGTCAAATGTTTGCACATGCTGGCCATTTGGAAACTTGCTTTGCTTTATACTGTTTGGTTACAGTTTCAGTGCTTCTCTGAATTTTTCCTTGTTATAAAGTATTATTTAATGTTGAATCAGAAGTATAGAATTATAATTACCACCACTTTACTCCCAGTTGGACACTGAAAATTTCTGTAGCAGCTAATGCATTCCCCCTGTAGAGGAAAACAGTTACATGTTTTAAATGAAAAGTCATTGTGTAGGATATGTACAGACATGCACAAGATTGGTGTGTACACCTATTAAACACAATTGAACGAATTCAATTGGGACTTGGGGTGATCTAACTTCAATAGGATGACCAGGAGTTATACCTGAATTGGCATGAAAGGGTTTTGTTGGGTTTCACATATGATCCAATGCTGAAACAGGGGCTCTGCATGTACAAGATTCTATTATATATTTAGGAGACCCATATATATTTTCTACCATTGACACCTGTAGATGCGCTTGATCAATGTGGCACTCAGAAAAGTAACAAGATTACACAAAAGGACTGACCGGTAAATCAGAAGTGATGAAAGTGTCACAACGGCCCCCAAACACTGGATCTGTTAACATGCAGTCAATTCCATAAGCAACACCACTATTGAATTCCAGATGCCTTTGTACTATCTTGCATCTCCTTTCATTGAGAAACAATTCACCCTGAAAGAGAAAGTTATACATTCATTTCAGCTCACTTTCCAGAGTATGTAAAAATAAAAGATTTGGTTGTTGGCTGTTGCTTCTTTTTTAATTAACAAGTATACAGACTAATAAACTACCCAAAGACAATATTTCTCATGTCATATTTGAATATTTCTTCTGGCATCAGTATTACATAACATATATATATATATCACTGAAAATATACCTATTGTGTTACATTTACATTTTAGACTAATTTAGAATGCTGCCACCTAACTGTGAAGAGGCATATGCTGTCTCATTTGTAAAATAGCTGCCCTATTTTGGGCTCTGTCCTGGTTTTGAAATGTACAAAACATTTTATAAACATGTCATTTTGTTATACCTTTAATTAAAAATTACAGAGCAATTTGTGCAAATAATACCAGTTTGTTCATCTTACTTTACACAAATATTCTGTCTATCTTATTTTACTCAAATAACCTTGGTTGTATATTCAAATATCTTTTCTTTCACTTGTCTCAGATTCAGGAATGAGATCAAGTTTTAAATCCAGCATTCTCCATCAGAGAGAGTATGTTCTTGTGTGTTAAAATATTATTTTCTCCTTCAGTACAGACACACTCTGTAGAATATACTTAAGATGTGTCTTGCATACTGTGGAAAGTATCTTTCCAAACTTAAACATTTAGCATACACTCCTGGTGCTTTCTATATGGGTTGTCATTCCTATCATTTTCACCCAACAATAGGTTACTCAAAGTATATTCGTTTGTTGGTTGTTGTAGATGTTTTGGGCTGTTTGGCCATGTTCTTAATATTGGTTTGTGCTTCTTGCACTAGGCTGTTATATTTGGAATTAAAATGCTGTGATCTGAAATTGTCCCTGTCTTTGAACCTGTTTAGGATGCTGTAATAGTTCTGGAATAATCACAAGGACATTAAACATTAGCCAACTTAAAGATGTAAAATACTCACAATGTTTGTATCATCATCACCACACTTCACACTGAGATCAGAACCTTGAAGTGTCTTCAGTGAATCAGAGTTAGGAAGAGCATAGGCAAAAATCTGTAGAAGACAACAGGGAAAAGGACATGTAGAGATATGGGTGGAAATAAGTGGTGAGGGAAAGAGAAGGAGGAAGAGGAAAGGGAAAAGAAGGTTTCTAAGTTAGAGAATATGAAGGTTCCCACACTTCTGTTTTATCAATAATCTAGAAATATTGATCTAAAAATTCCCACCTTAGCACTCCCAATAATATGGAATTTCAAGTATTGTAGCAGTTTCTCCTTGTCTGACATTTTAAACAGTAAATCTTGCCGATCTTTTGGGAGACCTCTAATCACCTTGTCCCCAGGCCAAAACAAAGTGACTGGTTGATGAAGTGGGTCATTAATAAGACTAATCAGTCCTGAACTCTGAAATACAATAGAATAGAAAATAAATTAATTTTTTCTTTTAAGGTTATACAAATTCTATCTTATCTACAAAGAGCTGTTGAGTATAGAGGAGGAGGGATAAGTATATCCCTTTTGGGTAAACATTTCAGCTGTAGCTATAAAATAAGAGCACAAACCAATTTAAGTAAAATTGTGGACCTAACCTGTTAGAAAACCATATGGTCTTACCTCTATCAAGTTGTAGAACATAATGTATCCATTTTTGGCTGCAATCGTTTTGAGATTTTCCTAGGAAAATAAATTATTTGCTAAATGTATTTGTCTGCCTAGGACATAGAACAGAAATGTGTTTTCAGAAAATAACATACTGGCTGCCTACATGCTATAAAAATGGTTGTATGATTGTCGCTTTCAGAAATGTATCAGACAAGTGTGTCTGTATCACTGAAGCCTGCTTAATAATTCTTCTAAGTCCTGTGACTATGAGCTAGAAGCTGTGGAAACTAAAATATATGTACAGTACTCTGCAGTCCACCAGTGTATTCATAATGGGGTCAAGTAAAAGGGAAGACAATTTTATCCCAAGGGGCTTGAAAGGGGCTTTACCCTGATGGCTGGATGAAACATCCTGTCTTCATCAGACCATTGCTCACTCATACTTCTAATTAGTTGATCATCCCAATAAAATGTCTCCTCACCTTTACAGGAGTTGGTTGTCCAGGTGGGAAATCTTGAATCCTCTGTGGGATCAGGACTTTGTCTATGATATGTATTACTCCATTTGTACAGATTATATCACTAGTTACAATCTTAGCTTTGCCATTCAAAAAAACTGAATTCTGTAAGCATAAATGCACAAAACAAGGCAACACATATTTTCATGGTCACAGGATCCTTTAATATGATAATATAGAACAAATTAAACAAACCTGCACCTGGTGTGGCAGCAGAAGACAGAAAGCACACCTCCCTTTCAACAGAGTAAACAATAAACATAAGCATGTGTATTTAGAATAAGAGTAAAAGTGCATAGGTTTATAGCCTTAGTAATTCAAACAGAATCAAAAGAATTGCATCTTCGAGTAAAGACAGTCACAATGAACAGTTCCTTAAAGGAGCATATAGAAAAGGTTGCACAAATTTCAAACACAAGAGAAGGCACTGGGATGAATTTTCAGCCAAGGTCTCAAAGGCCCAGTCTCTGAAATGTCAATAGTAGTGTCACTGCTGGCATGCAGGTAGTTCATAACAGAGGTTAGGGTTAGGGTTGTTTTTTTGATTGACAACTTCATTGAATCCGCCAGCCGCTGGCCATCTTGGCTGGGGGACTCAAGCAAGCTGTCAAACCAAAAAAGTGCAGGGTTCCGCCCCCGCCCCCCCCCCGAATTCAGCTGGACACAAAATGTGCAGTTGGAAACTGATAGACATGCATTTAGATAAATTGAGAAAAAATAGGTTACACACATCTGTTTATTAAGAATTCAAACCAGTTCTGTTCTGACAATCTTTCTTTTAATCACATTTATGTCAGCCACTACTACATAGTATGTTACTATATTTACCCTTTCTGAGAAGACAAATGAAAATCTATTAGTTTACCTGTGCAAATGTGATTGCCAGTTGTTCCCCATGGAGAGTGGTGACAGTTTTATCTGATGTGAGATCATTATAGAGAAGTCCTGTGCAGGATACCATATGGTAACGAAGAATCTGGGGCATGATCCCTTTGGAAAACCAGTCATTAACCTTGGAAGACAAGTCAGAAAATATAACAGGAAAGTTGGAGATGAGTGTAAGACAGTGTTTCTGAACCTTGAGTCCCCAGATGTTCTTGGACTATAACTCCCCAAAATCCTAGCCAGCACAGCTTGTGGTAAAGGCTTCTGGGAATTTTAGTCCAAGAACATTAGGGGACCCCAGGTTGGCAACCACTCTATAATAAAATAAAATATACCACTCTTAAAATTTGTCTTTACTTGGGAGGTAACTACCCTGTTTCCCCGAAAATAAGATCTAACCTGAAAATAAGCCCTAATATGCTTTTCAGGATGCCCGTAGTATAAGCCCTACCCCCAAAATAAGCCCTAGTTAAGTGAAACCCTGCCCTCCACCATGGTGCAGCATTGTGCATCAACCAGAAGACGACATCACTGTAAAATAAAACATCCCCTGAAAATAAGCCCTAATGCATTTTTGGAGCAAAAAATTAATATAAGACCCTGTCTTATTTTTGGGGAAACACGGTATTTACTCCTGTCAGAGTTTAGGGCTGCATCCTTACTAGTCTTTCATGACTTTGGATGCCATTCTGAATAGGTAACTCAACTCAGGGTTGGCAGATCTTGCACGAGAAACTGGCTGGCAGTTTTGAATCTGGAGGCAGACACAGCATGTCCGTCAGTGTGGTACAGTTATTACCAATCCTGAATTACAACTGTGAAAATTAAGATTCAAATCCTCACATAGGGCCTGTCCAGACTAGCCATTCTGGGTGTTGGGTGGATAGGGGTACAAAGAGTCTTTTGAGATTGGGAGAAGGAGTATTGTGCCATACAACAAATTCTTCTGACCGTTGGAATGAATTGCTGTTGTTCAACTGAGTGACTATTTGGTGAATTCAACAAGAATTTCTGTAAATCTCTCATGTTATTACTTTGTTTCAAATTTGATATGGCATCATTCTCTATTTATTGTTTAAGACCTTACTCTTTAAATGGACTGTTATTGGGCCACTGTTGTTATTTTTGGGTTATGTGAACTGAAATTTGTTGACTGAAGGTATAGCAATCTCGTCTCCTCCTCTCCCCCCACCCCATCTCTGGATGTACTGCAGGTTAAGGATTTGCTACCTTCTGTAGGATTGCCTCTTTGCCTCTATTTACACCCTGTGCCATATTTCCAAAGAAAGTTAATGTTGCAAAGACTCTGTGCTCCAGTAGGAAGCTAAACACAGCACACCTGTCCCTGGGGAAATTTGGAACAGGTAGCAAGATAATGCACAGCAGTAAGGTTCCTTTCTTACTTTTAATTCAGCTAGAAATGCTTCTCTGCTTGGTGCAAAAACAGTGAAAGGACCACTTCCTGCAATATCTCTGACAGCAGCATCCTACAACAAAGGAATGAGAAATATTAACACTGATTTCAGTCAACGTCATTTCCAGGTAATGGTAGTGATCGCCATGCTAATTTGCCAAACTGTACATACAGCTGAACAGCCACCAAGAGAAATCAAGAGTTGGTAAGGCATAAAATACAGTCTTCTTACCATTAAATATCCATTAAATCGTGTAGTGTTGCCATTCCTTGCCAGCTCCTGCAATAATAGCAAGAACAATAGTAACAGCAATAAGAAATTGTAACCCTTGTAGAAAGATTAACCACATAGGCTGGCAAAGGTCTAAAATATGCATAGGAATGGGTGTATCCTTGGTGAAGAATATGGTAATTTCAAATACAATGGGGTTGTTCCAATCAGTCGAAAAGGACTACATTGTAGGGGGTGAGATACAACAGCAGCTGCCCAGATGTTCTTGCACTTTGGAGAACAATTTATTGTTTCTAGAGTACCCCTTCTTCTGCCTAGGAGATTCTTTCCTGTTCTTCTTCTTGAAGAGATCTCGACTCTTAAGCTTTTTGGCTATGAAGGCATAGCAGCTGCAGAAATAAAAAGGACGAAGCGCCTGACACCCCTTTCTTCCCACACCTGTAAAAATGTCCTTGGATGAGGAGACGGTTTCCCACTAAACATGAAAGGGGGAGGAGATTTTCAGATGAGGGGAAAGGATGTGCTGCTTGACCTTTTTTCTGTCAGCAAGGAATAAGTTGTGTGTAATTATTTTCCATGTGGAATTCTGGCTATGCTTGTTGCATCAATGAGAAAACTACCCTGTTTCCCCAAAAATAAGATCTAACCTGAAAATAAGCCCTAGTATGATTTTTCGGGATGCTCGTAATATAAGCCCTACCCCCAAAATAAGCCCTAGTTAAGTGAAACCCCGCCCTCCACCATGGTGCAGCCTTTTGTAGCAACCAGAAGATTACATGACTGTAAAATAAAACATCCCCTGAAAATAAGCCCTAATGCGTTTTTTGGAGCAAAAATTAATATAAGACCCTGTCTTATTTTTGGGGAAACACGGCAGCTGGGGCAAGAGACTGTTTTTAAAAAAAGTCATTAGGTGAGGAGAGGGTTTCCTGTTTCGCAGGAATAGGTAGGTGAGTCCTGTCTTATTTTGGGGGAAACACAGCAGCCAGGGCAAGAGACTGTTTTTTTTTTTAAGTCCTTAGGTGAGGAGAGGGTTTCCTGTTTCACAGGAATAAGTAGGTGAGGAAGGAAAGGAGAGACCTCCCACTTAGCATGTATCTTTGCAGATTGTTCTCCCCTCTCATCATTTTGGTATAATCTGAATTTATGCTGCCTATCCAATAAACAATGAATAATAATTTAAAAAAGAGTTTCACCATGAAGATGCTGCCTCTGCAAGTAAATCCATCTCCAATATAATTGGGTTTACAGGTGCAGGTCCTGTCTGACTGGTTAGTATCATTGCAGTATGCATTTTCTCCACAGCCACCATTATTCTGTTAAGAAGAAATAAGTATTAAAAAGGAAGAACCCCCCCCCCCCACATCTGCATTGTAGAGACCTTGGCTGGTTTGAAAGAGTAAATTAATAGGGGCAGAAGATGGCCAAAGTCAAGGAGTTTTATGCTTTACTTTTTTCACTGGGATGTGGCTCCCCTTCTTGCTCATTTAGTTTCTACTGGCATACAAAAGAAGGATCAAACACTGCAGTATTAGCTCCCTTTGCTCTCACAGAAAGAGACCCTACAGTGCTAGAGTGAGCAAGCAAGTGAAGAGTACTCGAGAGACAACAATGAAGCCTAGAGTGGTGCCCTCCGCTCGACTACAGGAAGCCATGACAGCAGTTATAACCAACTGGTTGCTTTTGTCTAGAAAAATCAGTTTTAAGAGGTCACCTGTGTGAATTGCACTTGTACCAACTCATGAACCCACATTCTAGCTCAAATGTTTATATTTAAGAACACACAGAGAGACACCCTTTATACAGGGATATTTTTAACAGAATTTAATTGCTAAAGCCCATGAAGGAAAAGAAAATAATGTTTTGTGGGTAACCAAAATGAGAGGCAAAAGTCAGTATTTTTGGAAATAGTGCCATAATATTTTCTTGTCAAGATCTGGATTTGGAAAATTGGAAAAAGGAATTGGATCCTTTAAGATTTCACATGAAGTTATTCCTGAGAGGGATTAGCAGTGTTATAACCAGATGGCATGTAGCACAACAACAATTCAAGATAAGCTGTAAAGACATGTGGCAAAACTATTTTAACAAGCAAATAATAACCTGGTGAAATGAAGCTTTCAAACAATGTCAATGAAGAACATATTCCTGACTTTCTTATTCAATAATTGGAAAAGTCACTTTTGGTACTACAACTTCCAGAATCTCTCAGCTAGGGGATTATGTGATTTATTGTCCAAAGAAGTAATTTGTCTTACTCTTATAGCTGCAGTTTGGGATTCAAGGAGCTTAGCCATTCAACTGAACAAAAAGCTCCCATCCATCTTTGGTTATGTCTGCAACAAAGCTGTTTTTTAAGAGTTCTTTCAATATTTCCTTCATTGGCTCTTTGTGTATTTGTAGTCCAAACAGGCAACAACAACACAGAATCAAAAGGGACCAAATCAATTCCAGAAGATGAAATGAAGGCAGCTGATGCATTGTCCCTGCTTGTTGCTTGCAAAGGTTTTTATTCATATATTGATGCTGCAATTTGCTTTTCAAGCAGAAAGGACATTACAGCATAAAAAAGAGGCCTGATGGATCAGATTAAAAGTGTAACTAATGAAACATTATGTTTCTACTGCAGCACCTAGATGCTTATGGACAGCCTACAAGCAGGAAAAATCATACAGGAACACTCTACCATGATTGTCAGCTGATATTCTGAATCCAGAAATTACATGTACCTTTTGGCAGCTTTTGATTGCTTTATTTTCCATAAAATTGTCTATTTCACTTTTGAAGCCACCCAGGTTGGTAGAGATGACTTGCCAACAAAAAGAAATTCCCAGTATAATGGCATACATGTTGTATAAACTAAAAAAATGCTTCCTTTTGTTTTTCCTGAACCTTCGAAGATTCAGGTTTATGAGATGATACTGGGTTTTAGTATTACGAACGAGGGAGAAATCTGTCACTTTGTCCACACCATGCATCATTTCATTAAACTGTTCTGTGCAAATTGTAGGCAGACGGATGGGGAAAGAGAAAAAATGGCTAAAGAAGTGTATCCACTGTTTGATACACTCCTGGTATAGCACTAGCTACTTCCCTTCAGGCAAGAGAAAATGCAGTCAGAATGCAGACCTGGAACATGAGCTGTGAGGAAGAAAAAGCAAGCCAAGACTTTGGAGAGAAAACCGGCACACAGAAGATAGTTAACTATCTTCTTCTTCCCTAAACCTCTCCAATGTAAAGCATGTCCTTTTGTAGTAGAAATTTGTACATAAGAAGCTCACCACATTGTGCCAGGACCTGGAAAACGTACTTTTTCAGACTATAACTTCTGGATCCATCAGCCATTATGGGCTGGGGAATTCCAGGAGCTGCATCATAAAACGTAACATTTCCCTGTTCTGTGTTGGACACAGTAAGTAAGCATCTTTGGTGCAGCATTGTAACTTTCCGAGGAGGATCCAGTAAGAAGAGATGCTGGGGCTCAACCACTCCATAAAAATCTTTAGATCTGGATATCTTTCACCCAAATCCTACTCTATAACCTGCAGCTAGATAATGGGGGATGAAGTGTATCAGGCAAATCCTGGTGAGCCCTAACTCTTACTAAATTCACAGAAAATTCAACAGATTGACTGCATATCTGCTCAGAGACATTATACAAGTAAATGGGAATTAAACACAATACTCACAGGTCAGTTTCACACATATCTACACCAGATATCTGTTCAGATACAGTATGCTTTGATTGTACCAATGGATAACTATTTGAGGTCAGGAAATGTATATTCTATATTGTATCTCTCAATCAAAAACCAAACTGTTGCAAATGTACTCACAATTGAACATGGATTGATGTAAGAGCATGTTTTACCATCCCCAGAGTATCCTTGAAAACAGTTACACGCTGCCTGCCAGAATAAAGAAATGTGCCACATCAAAGTACGTAATAAGAACTTCTTAAACTTTTAATATATTTCATTCCATTTTAATGTAAAGAAAATGAATATAACACAGAACAACCCTAGTCTATATTTAATCCACACCTGTTTTGTAACTTTCCTTTACAGCGTTCAGATCACATAACCTACTATACTGTATTGTTCAGGTTTTTTTCCTAGTTCCTTTAGCATTATCAGAATGGCCTTATAATGGTTTCCTTTAAAGGGGAAGGTAGATAACCCTTCCTTAAGGATACATTAATGGGCTATTCACCTCATTAACATACCTACTGGAAGGTTACCTACCTTTATAAGGCCCATTCCAAAGAAATCCAGTTTAGCAATGGATGAGATTGACAACTATAGGTCTCCTACCTATGTTCCATTCCTGGGCAAGTTGACCAGTGGTGGGATTCAAATAAATTAACGACAGGTTCTATGCCCGAATGGCAAATAAATAAATAAATAAATAAATAAAATAAATAAATAAATAAATAAATAAATA